GCCCGCTTTCTGCCTGCTTTCTGCCTGCCGCAGGCAGCGGGGCGGGGTGGCCGGGGAACAGCCGCAGGTGCCCGGGCAGCGGCACTAGGGCTGGGCCTTGCCGTCCTTGCTGCGCCAGATGACCAGGGTGACCAGGAAGGGGATGAGGCAGATGGGGGCGATGATCATGGCCAGCAGCACGTCCTCAGGCGGGTCGAAGTAGACCTGGTGCTCCAGGGTGCAGTTGTGGAAGTAGCGGTGGTGGCTCTGGAAGATGTACTGCTCCGCCAGCGCGTTGGGGTAGCCGTAGCGCAGGTGGTCGGCCCAGCCCTCCAGGCAGGCCTGCAGCAAGCTGTAGGGCCTGGGGAGAGAGCCACGGGGTGCTGGGAGGGGACGGGGACGTGCAGGGCATGGGGTGGCTGCGGGACACCAGAGGCACAGACTCCCTGGCCAGCCCCAGCCCCCCCCTGGCCCAGCAGCACCCCTCTGGACTGCCCAGGGCTTGCTCTGCGCCCCGCTGCCTGCACCAGCCAGCCCCGCGCAAGCAGGGGCTACTGGAGGGGAAGGTGGCCCTGGGTCCGTTGGGCCGGGAGCTGGTGGCCTGTCGGCATGGCCCGGGGGCTCTGGCCCCATCAAACACTTTCTGCTGTCCACTCGTGTGGCCATGGGGATGGAGGGGCCACAGGCAATGCCCCCACCAAAGTGTCCGCACGTGCAGCTTCCCCAGTCAAGGACGTCCCTGAAGACGGTCAGAGCCCCTGCCCCCCGCGCCCCTGCAGCACTGCTCGGGAGGGCTCTCCAGCCATCCCGCCGCCCCGTACCTGCTGATGACTTTCCACTCGCACAGCTCTGACGCCGTCACATTCCTCATCAGGTCGACGAAGACCTCCCAGCACTTCTGCGTGATGTTGGTGTACGTCTCCTCTGCAGGGGAAAGGCACTGAGCGTGGGCGGCACACCCCTGCCAGAGCCTGTCACTGCCCACGGCTGCTGGCAAGTGACAACTGGCACCTGGACCGGGGTGGACACAGGCATGGTGGGGGGCTGGACCCCACAGCAACCCCAGGGCGATGCCTAGGAGCACAGCAGGAGGGCAGGCTGCTGCTGGCTGCCCCCACTGTGGCCAGTGCCAGGGAGGGCTCCACGGCAGAGCCTGGCTATTTTGGGGATGGACAGAGAACACATGGCCATGGGAAAGGGGGGGTCACCCTGTAGTGCAGAGCCAGCCCCGGCCAGGGCACCGTCGGCCCCGTGGCACTGCCTGGCCCTCGCTGAGCCCCAGCACTCACCTACGAGCTGGGCCGTCCAGTTGAACACGGCCACGGGTGGGCTTGTCCTGGTGTCCTGGCCAAAACCCTCCGCCTCAGCGCCCGCGTGGCAGAGCCCCGTCCCCAGGAGCGCTGTGGAGGAGAGGGGACAGGGTCAGCGGGGGACAGGCGCTGGCAGGGTCCAGTGCATGGGAGCTGCCCCAGCAGAGGCTGGGGGCTGCAGGAGGGAAACGGTTTCGGGTGTCCCTCAGGGGCCGCTGGAGCCCGCAGTCAGGGCGTGGGGAACCATGCTGCCCAGAGCCTGGTACGCGCTGGGACCAGGGCATCCAGCCCCCCGCATGGGCAGGGGCTGTGGGGAGGGGGCCAGCCAGGCTGCGGGCAGCTGCCCAAGGGCTCGGAGGGGCTGTCTGGGGGCTGCGGGCCCTGGGCCGTGGGTCACAGCACGGGGGAGAGCCGTGCCCCCCCACCCGTGGGGAGCCAGCACCAGGGCCGCCTCACCGCCCTGGGTGGCTGCATTGCAGCCAGACGGGGCTGGGGCAGGAAGAGGAAGCGCTGGCCGCAGCGCAGCACTGCCGGAGAGTCCCTCCGCGT